TAATAATAATGAACCAACGACACAGTTGCGGAACACAATAAAAATGCGTGGCTGCTTGCTCAGTAAGAAGTGTAGTACTGAACGAACATCAAATTGCCCATAGCAACATGAACCTGAGCATAGTCCCATTCAGGATGCAATTTTGTGTACCAGTATGCTATTGCGGACAGCTTCTTCTGACGTTCTTGCATCAGGATTAGGCAATCGTATGCAGTTTTCGCTCCAGCGTAGCTTCCATTATAGTAGTCCTGATAGTCGTCGATGCGTTTACAAAATTCATTGTATGCTTGCAGTCTGGCATCACTTTCGACGATGGCAGCTTCTTCGCATTCTCGGCTTGCACGGTACGGAGCAGTCACTTTTTTAGCTTCCGGGTATGTTAGTGGCCAGAAAGACTGGGGATATTTGCAGTCTGCGCGTACTGTCACGGTACCATTCAGAGTTCTCGTTACAAGCACGATACAAACGGGCGACTCTCCTGACATCTTGTCGCACACCAAGTTCCTTTCGAGATAATCGTTGATTTTACCCAATGCCTGAAAAAATGTTCTCTTACAGTTGCACGAAAAAAAAAAATCGTGTTTAATAAAATGAAGTAATAAAATCACTATTTAAAAAATGCTAATAGCTGAAATTCCCCAAAATTTTCTATGCACCATCCGGTTGGCCTAAGGCGTAAATTCCGTGCCGTAACCGCTGCACTGGCGATGTCCATTAGCTGTGTTAGTGTAAGGCGCATGCTGCTTAATGTAACGAGACGTCTGTATTTTAGCAGTTCTAATTCCGTATATGTATATATGCATGTACATATTAATTTATTAAATTATATTTGCACATCAACTTGAACTGGCGGCAACTTGTGTAATTTTGGTCGATTGGGAGTCCAAATGATACTAGCAGGATAATCCAACTCTCCAAGTGTAATTATACCAGAAAGTTTCATAACGATCGGCATATCCTTCCTATTCAATATAAGCATGCACGTGAAATTTTTGGAAAGAATAAATCTAATAATTTATGTAAATGGGAATTGCATTCCCATTTCTTTTAAAACTTTTATCCTACGATTATCAAAACTATTATT